TAATGAGACAAATGACGAGCGCATATCGGATCCAATGAATCATTACGACAATTTGGGACACATTCGGCCCATTGACGCAAATATCCCGGTCCCTTTAGAGCCCATGGAAGTGGTGCCTATGATTCAGCACTAAACTACAGGTTGAGCTACACTTTTCTCCGTATATGGAGAATGTATAGTAAATAGCCGTTTGTGAGCTGACCCCTTGACCCTGACATCCGTCCTGGTCGTCCGCCTTATATATTTGGACTGAAAAAAGGTAGTCTCCAGAGCACTGGCCATCCACTATATAACCACATGTAATGAATACAATATTTCCTGAAGAATATGAAAGTGATTGACCAGAATTAAGACAATATTACTATTAAATACATAAGACATAGATCTCAATGGTGACTAACGATTGAGGGCAGCGGTTACTACTGTCATTTCATTCACTTTTAGGAGTTCCGTTTGGTTCGATACGACCGCATAGTATAAATACTGTTCGTTTGAAAACGTGAATCCATTGCACGTCTTATTCCCATTTGTCTCCAAATTTTCATAAATATTTTCAAACTTTGAATTAGGTTTACATTTTAAGATTGAATTATAAAGTGTTTGCGTCTCCACTATTGGTGTCGCGGCTTTACGTATGAAATAAATGTATAAATAATTTAATATTGAATTCTTTAGTCAATACTTACGAATATTCTGTACGTTATGAGCGTTGGGAATAGTCTTATGAAGATTATGAGAACTGAGTGTAAACTCAGCCAAAATACAAACACTTTGTTTATAAATATACAATAAGAAGATAAATATCATTTTAGATTCATTTAAGTTACTGTGGTCTGCAATGAGTTTCCGGTAAATTCATTGATAATACACAACATATTAGAGCCAATACTCCGCAAAATATAAGGGGAACTTTATCTCCAAAATATGACTAACCAAATACAAAATAGAAATAAAAATAAATAATGAAGTATTTCATTAAAAATGAATTACCAGTCCTATAAGATGTGGTGCAATGATGCCACCGATCCGGGAGAACATTTGACACAAACCAATGCCTGTACTCCGGACTACAGTCGGGAATATTTCTGCCGAATAGATATACATCAGTGTATAAGAGGCGGAAATATTGCTTTTGCCAAATATGGCCACAATTGTGAACAATTGTAGTGATAAAAAGCGTCCAAAAAATATGAGCGTTTGAGTCAATCCTTATCGGAAGGCGAACAGAGAGCACAGACTCAATGAGATCGAGAGTGAGAGTCAGTGGCAAACATCCGCTTTTTGTATCCGTTTGCTGTATAATCACCACATAATATAGTTTTGTCATATTATTGTTAATACGGCTTAAAAAAAGCTTTTTCAATCCAATTATGTGTT